TATCCCTTACCTCTAAAAGTTTTCGGGTCTACATGTTTTGTTCATAATTTTAGTTCTAGTCTTGACAAGCTTTCTCCTAAATCACATAAATGTGTTTTCTTAGGGTTTACAAGATCACAAAAATGATACAAATGTTTTTCTCCTTCTCTTAACCGTTATTTTGTGTCTGCATATGTCAGTTTTGATGAGTTCTCTTTTTATTTTAAAAGTCAATCTTCACCTCTGTCTCCATCCAATCTTGTCAACACTCCTAGTACATTTAATGTTCCTGTTGTTTGTGACCCTCTAATTGTGTCTTCTTCACCATTAGATTCTACTCCGCAGTCAGCTTCTTCTTCACTGCCTCTTCAGGTTTATAGTTGCCGAAACTAATCACAACCACCATCATGTGACTCTACTCAAGTGCCAACTACTCTGTCTCCTCCGGATGTGACACCTGAGTCTGACCTTCCCATTGCCCTCCGAAAAGGTATCCATTCTACACGTAATCCCTCTCCTCATTATATTGGTTTGAGTTATCATCGACTATCATTACCTTTTTATACATGTCTTTCCTCTCTTTCTTTTGTGACCATTCCAAAAACTGTTCGTGAAGCTTTAGCCCATCCTGGTTGGCGTCAGGCCATGTTAGATGAACTAAGTGCTCTTCATGATAGTGAAACTTGAGAATTGGTCTCGTTATCGTCTGAGAAATCTGTTGTTGGTTGCAGGTGGGTGTTTGCTATCAAAGTTGGACCTGATGGTACTATTGATCGCCTCAAAGCTCGTCTTGTGGCCAAAGGTTATACTCAAATTTTTGGGTTGGATTATGGAGATACATTTTTCCCTGTGGCAAAGATGACTTCTGTTCGTTTATTTATCGCCATGACCGCTCTTCAACAATGGCCTCTTTATCAACTAGATGTTAAAAATGTTTTCCTCAATGGTGATTTGCAAGAAGAAATCTATATGGAGCAACCTCCTGGGTTTGTTGCTCAGGGGGAGTCTTCTGGGATGGTATGTCGTCTTCGTAAATCCCTATATGGCCTAAAACAGTCTCCTAGGGCCTGGTTTGGAAAGTTTAGCAAGGTTGTTCAACAATTTGGTATGACTCGGTGTGAAGCAGATCACTCGCCTTTTATCGACACTCAAGTGCTGGATGTGTTTACTTGATAGTATATGTTGATGACATCGTTCTTATAGGTAGTGATAACCATGACATCTCTCGAGTTGAAACAACATCTCTCGTCACCATTTTCGCACCAAAGATCTTGGCAAACTTAGATATTTCTTGGGTATTGAGGTGGCACAGCCCAATGATGGTATTGTTATATCTCGGAGGAAGTATGCCATGGATATTTTAGAGGAAACTGGGTTGATGAATTCAAAGTCTGTTGATACGCCCATGGATCCCAATACTAAACTTTTACCAAATCAGGGGAGCTTATACCTGATCCCGAAGCAAGATAGAACATTGGTTGGAAAATTGAATTATCTTACAGTTACTCGTCCTGACATTTCCTTTGCGGTCAGTGTGGTAAGCCAATTTCTTAATTCCCCATGTGAAGATCATTCGAATGCAGTCATTCGTATCTTAAAGTATATTAAAGGATCTCCTGGAAAATGATTGTTATATGATTCTAATAACCATACAAGAGTTGTTTGCTACTCAGATGTTGATTGGGCAGGATCTCCTTCGGATAGAAGATCTACATCTGGATATTGTGTCTCCATTGGTGGTAACTTGGTCTCATGGAAAAGTAAGAAACAAAGTGTTGTGGCAAGATTTAGTGCAGAATCAGAATATAGAGATATGGCCTCAGATGCTTATGAACTTGTTTGGCTCAAGCAATTTCTTAGAAAGTTACAATTTGGAGATGTCACTCAAATGTCACTTATGTGTGACAATTAGGCTGCTCTTCATATTAGTTCTAATCCTGTCTTTCATGAGAGGACCAAACACATTGAGATTGACTGTCATTTCATTCGAGAAAAGATTATGTCTAGAGACATCAAGACTGAGTTTGTTAACTCAAGTGATCAGTTAGCAGATATTTTTACTAAATCTTTATGGGGTCCTAGAATTGATTATATTTGTAACAAGCTTGACACATACGATCTGTATGCTCTAGCTTGAGGGGGAGTGTTAGATATTGTTTAGATATTATTTAATATTGTTAAGATATTATTAGATATTAACCATAATATCAAACAATATCTTCTGTTTATTCTGTTACTTTCAGTTACTCTTTTAGTTGTATCTCTCTACTATAAATAGACTACCCTATGTGTGATTTATACACAAGGGAGATTAATCCCAAACTCTATTTCTTCTATATTCAATGAGATTCCTAGTTGCATTACTTATAGCTTCCTTGTTCGTAGACAAAGTTGATTCGGAATTATCTTTCATTCCAAGGCATAACTTGTATCCAGGCGATTCATATTCGACTGGAGTTCGCTCCCAGAAATATAGCCCCCCCGCCCTTCGTGCAATCCCACGAGCCTCTTATCCATTCTCAATTCTTATTCGATCAATTCTTATTCGATCACGGCATCCAAATAGAAAAACTTACATTGGGTTTAGGGATAATCAGGCTCGAACTGATAACTTCCACCACGTCAAGGTGACACTCTACCGCTGAGTTATATCCCTTCCCTTGCCTCCATCGAGAAATAGAACTGACTAATCCTAAGGCAAAGGGTCAAGAAACTCAACGCCACTATTCTTAAACAACTTATTGGAGTTAGGCTTTCTTTTCACACTATTACGGGGGAAAAATTGTATTGAATTGTAAACTGCTCCTATCGGAAATAGGATTGACCACGGATTTGAGCAATAACACATGATTTCATAAAACCATATGAATTTCCCGGTCTAAATAAAGCAGGTTTTCCATGAAGAAGATTTGGCTAAGCATGTTCTATTCGATACGGGTAGGAGAAGAACCCGACTCGATTTTCTTAAAAAATAGAGAAATCAGAACCAAGTCAAGATGATACGGATCAACCCCTCCTCTTGCGTTCTTGCGCCAAAGATCTTACCATTTCCGAAGTAACTGGAGTTCTATCTATTTTTCCATTTCAATTCAAGAGTTCTTATGTATTTCCATGCCCCTTCGAGACCCCGCAAAAATGGACAAATTGCTTTTTTTAGGAACATACATACATATATTCATTACCACAAAAAGGATAATGGTAACCCCACCATTAACTACTTCAATTTAATAGTAATAAAAATACATGCCCTACCAAGACAGAATTTGTAACTTTCTATACTCTTGCCTAGCAGGCAAAGATTTACTTCCGTGGAAAGGATGATTCATTCAGATCGACATGAGAGTATAACCACATTGCATTGCCAGAACCCATGTTGTATATTTGAAAAAGGTTGACCTCCTTGCTTCTCTCATGTTACAATCCTCTTGCCGCCGAGCTCCCTTTCTCCTCGGTCCACAGAGACAAAATGTAAGACTGGTGCCAACAGTTCATCACGAAAGAAAAGACTAGCTGAGCCGAGATCACTAACTAAAACGAATTTCATACTAATAGAAAATACTAATCGAATAGAAATAGAACTGTCTTTTCATATAGATATCCCTTCAACACAACATAGGTCATCGAAAGGATCTCGAAGACCCACCAACGCACGAAAGCTGGGATCTTTCAGAAAATAGATTCCTATTCGAAGGGTGCATAACCGCATGGATAAGCTCACACTAACCCGTCAATTTGGGATTCAATTCGGTTCCTTAGGAGGTATCGGGAAGGAATTGGAATGTAATAATATCGATTCATCCAGATACAGAAGAAAGAGTTCTCTATTGATTCAAACGCTCTACCTACGAGATAGGGATAGAGAAAGAGGAAAAAATCGAGGATTTCACATAGTACTTTTGATCGAAAAATCGATCTGATTTTTTTCGTACTTTTCACTCAATGATGAAATGGGTCAGATTCTACAGGACCAAACCTTGTGAGAGTTAAGGAATGATGGAAGAAAAAAAAAAGTAAATAAAAATGCAGTAGAAGAGTCCTGATTCCAAACGAAAAAAATTCAAACTTGATTGAAAATGATCTTTCTGATTATAGAAGAATGGGGCAAAAGGATTGATCGCGGAAGATTTCTTGTTCTTATTAGAAGATCGTGATTGGATCCACATATGTTTGGCAAAAGGAAAGATGTTAGGCTTTGACTCTGATACCATGTTAAGGTTCTAATATAAAACCAATTGTCAATATGTGGAGTAGCCTAACATGTATTTAAACCATACCAAATAATATGAGGTAGACGATGTGGGACTTTCAAGAGTAAATAAGAAATTTCTGTATTGAAAATGTAGTCGAGACAATAATGAAACTCGAAAAAAGGATAATCCCTTTCTATGTCTAGAACTAAGCTCCTATTAGAGCAACCATGAGGTTCTCTATCCAAATCAACGGAAAATCTTTGTTCGCTCTATCCCCCTCCCAAAACATTATTTACATAACAGAAAATATTCTTCCTCTATCCTCTAAGAACCTTATAAACCTTTCATATCATGTCAACATTCTTTTTCTTTTTATGTTCATTCACAATCCATTTCTTTGGGCCTCCTTTGTTCTCATCGGCCAGTGATTCATTTTACCTTGGGCCTTATCACTACCATACACATTATATATTAGAATTATCAATATATATATTTATTTTTTAGTTGCATTAAATTCACAAACCATCATATTTATTTAAGGTTGAACAAAAAAATTAATTAACTAAAATATAAGAAATAATTTTGGCCTTTTTAAAAATAAAATCAAAATTATGAGTTTTTAAATAAAATAAAACAAAAATACTCCTTTTTTAACATGTAAATGAAGAGAGAAAAATACAGATTAAACAAAATTGTATAATTGTATTGTACCTAATCTAATCCTTAATATTTCGCAAAATTCACACTATAAATTTTGAATATTAAGTAATATAAAGCTTTCTGAGAAACTCGTCAACACCCGTCTCTGGCGCCAGAGGAGAGAAATCAGAGATGTCATCGCACGCTAACGATCCCCGTCAGCCATCGGCGGCTAGACCCTACGTGGCGCCTCAGATTGCGCCGCAGGACCTGCCAATCGACTACGCTGGTTTCATCGCCGTCATATTTGGCGTCGCCGGTGTCATGTTTAGGGTTTGTATTCGCAGCACCTCTTCGCCATTTGATCTCACTGCACAATCTTCGTTTCGATGCGTTGACACTTTTTTTTTTTTCTTTTTCTGTTATTTATTAAATCAGTACAAATTGAGCTCGTGGCTGGCGCTCATATTCTGCGCGCAATCTGTCGCGAACATGAGGAATGTCGAGAACGATCTCAAACAAGTTATGATGGCTATGATGTGAGCTTCTTCGCTTTTTTCTGTTTGAATTATTGTTTGCTTTGTTCTTTATGAGGTTTGTTTGTGGATCTGATTTTGTGAGACGTTGTTTTAAAATAAAACCATAAAAAAAGGTTGAATAAATGTTCATAGGTTTGGGAGGTAGTATATTTTCCGCTGTTTTGGAATTTTTATGTTAGTTTCTGAATTTCGTATATACATAGGGCTCTTAAGAATAGGAATGCGTGTTCTTAGGGGACGGAATCTGGAAATGGCAAGAGCAAAGAAAGTGAGATTTGGAGGCTAACTTTTATGGCTTGATGAATAGGTAATTAAATTCGAGAATAAGTATCTTTCACTTCTGTTTTTTATAAGTTAGTGTTCTTTTACCTTATTAAAAGATGCTTCGTTTGTTCCAGAAGTGTCAGGAGTAGGATGAATGTAATTTTTATTTTGTATACGATTGAGTCTTGATTATCCTTGAAGGAAGGAACGTACTAAACAGAAGATAGATTCTGACACTCAAATCAAAATTGCTTGATCATTCCTGAGGAAAATTACTTACGTAAGGCTTTGCAAAGCATCGTTTTTGTAGTTTTACATAGGCTTGGTCATGACTTTTTGATGAAGGAAATCTTAATAGGATTGGACTTGATACTTGATTAAGATTAGCCTTTATAGGGATCGGATCATGGTAAGGTTTGAATTTTTAATGTTGAATTGTAGATGTTCGGCTGAGCTAATGGATGACTTTAATCTGGCCTTTGATATCTGAACTGTTCGCTTGAATTATGTAGTAGTGTTTATAACCATCCTTCTGGGATTTTCAAGGAAGGGAGACTGGGATTTTCTCCCTTTAGATTCTGCTTCCTTCTATTACATAACTCCACAACTGTGTTTTAGTATTTCTTTTTCCATTCTCTATCACTGACCCTATTTCCAGCTTTTCAAACATAGCGGTCAACAAGCAACAACAGCCTTATTTAACTAGATTGGTTATATGAATAACAGATTATTGGGCTTTATCAAAAATCAAATTCTCATGATATTATCCACCATGAGATCCTCTTTCATAATTTCTTTCAATGTCATTTTTGGTTTCACTCTATCCATTACATAGATAAGATAACCTTCTGATTTGTTGCTTTCAATTCTTCTGGGCACTCCCAACCTTTTCTATTCCAATCAACATGCTTTGCCAAAGCATAAATTAGGTGAACGTCGAATCTTGTTCTGTCAGAGTAGATAGGACATCTACTTCTCAGAGTTTTTTTTTTTTCACCTAAAATAGTTAAAGGTTTGGTGCCCTTAGTCATTTAAGTGCATCACAGTCTTGTTCATTATTTTTAACTTCTTACAAATGTAGGTACTCCTATCAAATAACAATATTCTTTATGGTGTTATGTTAACAAAAAAAAAAAAAAAATTATATGTGGTGCAAACAGCCAGATGACCAAATTTCTTTTCCCTGCAACTTTCTGAAGCATGCTTCAACTCTTCAAGGTTTTTCGTTTTTATTCTGCTTCTTCTCTCTGTTGTATTGTGCGCAATTCCTTCAGGGTCTTCACTAGAAACCCCGATGATGGGAAGTATCTTTCTGCACTTGTCTTATTATTTAACATTTAAGGCATATATAACAAAAAATTGACTTTAAAAAATGGCCCTTCAATTTGTTTCCTAAGTTTTGATACATCCCACATGGCTAAATTCCAAGCAACACAGAACAATAGTTAGGCATGGAATGCATATGTTTAAGGAGTTAGCATGTTAAAGGGGTATGTAAAGTACTTCATGGTTTTGAACGGAAATGTCAAAATATTTTTAGAAAATTCAAATAATGGGAGAAAGAATGTCTGGTAGAAAGAAGTGGGGAGTGAAAGCCAATAGTTGGGTAAAAAATGACTTGCATTCCCATGTCATGGTAAAAGAACGTCAAGGATAATAATCTATAATATATTATTGAAAAATGCTATTGTAGTTTACTGAGTTATATTACGCTTACAAGAAAACTGCTAGAGTTCGGTAACTTATCCCAGCGTAAAAAATACATTGCAAAATGACCTTTCTGTTCTAATGTTTCACTGCACAACTAGAATAGAGTCAAAGGTATGGATATATTATATGACGGAGGATTTTTCCTGGAAGAATGCTAAAAACAATTCTTACTTTATCCAGAAGTATGTCAATCTTCAATACTACCCTAATATATACTATACATATACAGGTTGGGTACTTGCTCTTCTTTTTAGAAGTATACGACCTTGATTTATTAAATTACTCCAAAGGTTTAACTTGCTAAAGTAGTATTTCTAAAACGCAAGTGGGAGTATATTAACAGTTACATGCACACACACAAATACACTTGGTGATTTGCAGCATTTTATTTTTCTTCATTCTTCTGTGGTGATGTGAGCATGAAATAGTTTTCCGTTAATTTGAATCTATTCTAAATTTCAGGCGGTTTTCTTCACTTTTAAAACTATTGACTTGATGTTAATCTGAACCTCAGGTTTTCTTTAATGGGATTGATAACAAACTACTTTGGACCTCCTAGACCCGGCAAACAAAGCTGAAAGCTCAAGATTTTGAGGTAGAAATAGACCTTTATTTTAAAGTGAAGGGAAGGTTATTGTCATGTGGCATTTTAGTTGTCTGTATTAAAGATGTTTGCGAAAAGACTGGATACCTGTGTATTTGGATAATTTGATGCTTTCATAATTATTTATGAAAGATAGATTATTGAGAACTATATTATTTTGCATATTTGTTTATGTAAACTTGGTTTTTAAAACGAGTTCGACATGCACTGATTTAAATTTTTAAGTTCAATCGTCAGAAAAGTGCATTTTGTATCATATTTGGATGCTATGATTAGAATAACTTTAAAATTTTGTTATTAATAAAATGGTTCAAAGACATACCTCTTTCAGGACCAAAGGAACAAGTTCATTCCTCTTTCTATGTATTTTTTCCGTCTATTTTGTGTCAATATTGTTAAGATTTGTGCCAAACAGCTCAACAAATAATCTTAATAGATTCTTTTAATGTTTACTGATATATTATTGTTAGTTTACCACTGTCATTTTCTCTCGCCACCACCATATTTAGTGCACCTCGTCGTAATGTCCAGCCCACCTGGTTGTGTTCTCCATTTCCAGTTATGGTTTTGGCCTAAACCTCCTCTCTTGGGCTGTATCTTTTCTCCCCCTCCCCCCCCCCCCTCTCTCTCAAACTCTATCTCTATATCTATCTCCACCATTGTTTTTTTTTTTTACTATTGACACTAGCTATGAGGTTTAGGGTGCTGTGAGTGTTGTTGTTTTTTGAGAGGTCAAGGTTATTGTTGATTTGTTGCTTGTTATTGGTTTGTTGGCCACTTGCAGGCAGTCTAATTATAACAGGTATTTGTAAAAACTATTTAATTATCTATTCATTAAATTACAAAAATATGTTAAATAAAGAGTAACATTACTGTCCAAGGAAACGCTCACTGTGAGATACAAATACTAATGACAGGAACCTTGCTTACATGCAATCTACAACATGATTCTTTATGAATTTTATTATAAACAAAACTTGATTAAAAGGTAAATTATCAGGGAAAGATCTGTAAATTAAATCATGTTAAAGCTCAAAGGTAAATGTTATTGACTTCTTGCAAAAATATAACAGCAATATGAGAAAGAGAGAGAGCATAAAGTCTTCAACGTCTTTAAGCTGGTAGTAGTGGGGGGCTATCTCCACCAACCACCCTGGCTTTAACTCTGTCACCTGCAATATGTGTATGCAGTTTCAGCTATTGAAATATATCCATTGAAAAGTCATGAAACATTTGACTTGGTAAACAATTGGCAATACCTGTCTCATATATTCCTTGGTTATGAGTATAGTTCATGGTGTATAACCCATCTAGGGAGAACCTGTGAAAGTACAAAGAGAAAACTTAATCATGAAAGAAACGATTAGATTTTTATACCACCATAACAGTCCCCCCAACTTCACAAGTATTAAAACACATTGATGCAACATACAGTTGATTGATTCTTTTCAAATTGCCTCAAATTGGAATAAACACACTTGGCAGATTGAGTTGTTAGAATTTCTCCAAAAATTTAAGCCTTAAGCTTAGCTACAGATCATACTAAGTAAAAGTAATAGTTACTTTAATAACAGTGATGGATGAGTTTTCTTTGGAAGATTCAAAGTTTTATAATTTATATTAGTATTTATGATTTTAATCTTTTTAAACTTAATTATTATATTAAATATATTTGTCTATATATTTATAAATTTAATTTCTTATTTCATAATCTTTTATTATTTTTTATTTATTTATTTTTTATTGATAATATATTATTTGACCCCTCAATATCAATATTTACCATTAACAATTGTAATCAGAACAGGTTAATATTAAATCAGTAATACAGAATATGATATTCAACTTCATATAATTAAGTATGATGTTAATCAAATTTTTTCTCTAAATGATGGTGAAGACTCTTGATGATTGAAAGCGAAAGTTAAATTTTTTATTTGCATGTAATTTGTATTTTGTAAATTATATGTAAAAAATAATTAAAAACAATCACACAATTTGCTATATGTCCTAAATTGTTATAACTAATATATATATATATATATATATATATATATATATATATATATTGTAAAATAAAGAAAACTTAAAAAAGACTATTAATGTGTATTTTGAGGAGTATTTAAAAAAAATATCAACAATTGATCGTTTCTGCAAATCAACTTAAAAAAATAAAATAAAATTTGACCTAAAAGGTAGGTTATAAAGGTAATATCATCATAGTTTAAAAACAAATTTTCTCAAATAGTGAAATCACTTCTCAAGCTTAATTGAAGCCAGAATAATAAAAAGAGTTGCATTGCTCATAGTTTGTATATAATAATATTACATTCAGTTTTTACTAAAAAGTATATATACTTTTTTTTACAAAAAAATTGGTGATAAGTACAAATTTTGTCACTATTTTATATTATTTATCATTAATTTTTAATTTGTCATAAATATTATTCCTAATAGTTATTAAATTATAAATTATCACTGTAATTTCTTTAAAAATAATAAAAATATTTATATCACAAATAATTGAAAATGTTATATGATAAAATTATTTTTTTAATGAAATAAAAACATAATTAATATAAATTTTATTCAATGTTTATAATGTTTATGAATTAATAGAGATCAAATATTATTATTTTTCGTTTTTATTGTATTATTAGTCATTATTAGAAAAATATTAATTTATTATATATTATTAATGAAAAATTATTTGATATATTTTTATTTATATAAAATAATATTTAAATTTATTAAGAAATTGTATTAAGAAAAAATGATAAAAATAAAATAATAAAATAACCTAATATGAACATAATTATATTTAAACTAATACATGTAGTTGTATGTTGTCTTTTAAAAAAAAACTAGATTAATAATTATAATTACATATTATTTTGATAATTACATTTTTTTCTTTTTACGCATAAATCCTAATTTAGTTAAATAGAATGAAGTTTTAAGTTTTCTGAAAATTTTCACTTTTTTTTAATAAATTATTTTGTTATTGAGTTTTTTTTTCTTTAAACACTTCTCTTTAGAATAATTTTTTTTTCTTGTCTGGTTTAGAATTACCAAACAATTATTTTGAGGATCACATATAAAAGAACATGTTAGCTTCTTAACAAGATTTATGACTAGAAAAATAGAGAAAAAGTTTCAAAGAAGAAAACTTTCTTACTTTGGAGTATAAAATACTATGATTTGGAATCTTCCATGAAAGAGGAATATTTGAGTTTATTTTTTATAAACTTAGAAAGTTTAACAGTTTTCAATCTTCCATTATGTAGAGAAGAAGAGGTTTCCATCCACTTTTAGGTGAGCTAGTCCATAGACAAGCATGTTTGCACAAGTAAGTCAACAAACTAGTTTATTGGACATTGATAGAAGACAAATTGGTCAGTGAGCAACTAAGGTAAGTTGGTCTAATGAAAAGTAAAATGAATTGTTGAAGTCAATTGTAGTTGTTACTACATGTCACCAAAAGCTTTGGTCATATGGTGTCAATTATCTTTAAGTGATTTCTTCAATTATGTTACAATTTGCAATGTCTTCAAGTGATACATTTTCATGTGACTTGTCTTTGTAGTTGATCTGCTAGAGTGATAAATGTTTTTTCTTATGTGTGACTTGATGTTGTCAATCATTAAGGAGACTCCTTATGAACAATGAAAGAATATAAAGTCTAACACATCATATTTTCAACCTTTCAGTTTTCAATGTTTTATCTTGAACACCAAAGAAAATATGAGAAAATTTGATGTAAGATTAGTGAAGAAATCTTTCTTGGATACTCTAAGATATCTAAAGCTTATAGAGTGTTTAACTCTATAAGATCTTGTTTTGAAGAAGTCATTCATGTCAGGTTCAATGGTTATAAGTCTAATAGGAAATTTACCAAGAGTTGGATGAAGCCTTTGCATATTTGTAGTTAGTGAGAAAAATGCACCATTAATTAAAGCATAAGATTGTGTCAGAGGGTGGTGCACTAGACAAGTCTGAAACTCAATTAGACATTAGAGAGAGATTTTGATACCGCTTTATTTCATAAAGCTTTTAAAATTTGAGTTTCTTATTATATAAATATATGCAGATGACATAATTTTTTATGCTACTATTAATTCTCATTATGGGAAATTTTATAAGCTTATGTTAAATGAGTTTCAGATAATTATGATGAGTGAACTAAATTGTTTTTGGGACTTCAAAACAAGTAAATAACTAACGTCCTATATATACATTAGACCAAGTAGGTGAAGAAATATCCAATGCATCTAACCATAAGATTGTGACTAGAAAAGGATTAAAAGAAAGTGAACAACATTATTTATAAACAAACGACAGAAGTTTACTACTATATCTTATTGCTTACAGACTTAACATAATGACTTTTGTATGTTCATTTTCAATTTGTTATATATTTCAAAATTTAATCATATTTGATATCATTAAAATGATGTGTAAAGTCTTTATTACCATCACAAATTTTGTTTTAATCACATAAGTAAACTTTAGTTAAAAATTCATTATGCTTTAATTGATTAAATAAACTATTTAATTGCTTGAAATAACTTAAAGCGACTACTTTAGTGATTTTAACATATTAAATGAAATAGTATAAATAAATTATTTATTCTTTATTCAATTTTTTTTTCAAAATAGTAAATGTTAAGTATTTTTAGATTTACAAATTGATTATTAAAAAAATTCTTTTAAGGAATGCAAAAATTTTTCAATTATATATTAATATTTACTCAACCTTTTTATTAAGAGTGTTCATGATTCAATTTAGTTTGATTTTTGATAAAAAATAAAATTAAACCTTATTACAGTAAATATCTTTAATGATGGTTAAAATGACCATACAACAACAATTCTAAAACAACCATGAGTATGAACCATCGTTATATTTATTAACTGTAATTATGATAACAAAAACAATATGATGACGATTATTTGAACTTTATTGTTGTCATAATAATTATATGACGATGGTTAGGACCATAATCCTCTTTCAATGATTTTGTTTCAACTAACTTTGAAAAAACATATGACGACGGTTGTGTTTATTTAAACGCTTGCATTTTACAATTCAAACAAATCTAGCACAAAATATATATTTTACATACTTACATACTAAACATTCACTTATAATGTAATGTATAATATCTAATACTACTCTTACTAAAATAATAAAAATTAATCATCGTAAACTATTAAACATGTATAATATTCAATATTATTATAGTAGAATAATTAAAGTAATATAAATTATATATTACCAAAATTCAACTATTATAAATATCTTAAACAAAATTGATGAAATATGTTGTTCTTATGTATTTAATATAATATATGATATTTTTGTCTAATAAAAATGTGTTTATAAAAATCATATTCTCTTGTTTCTTTATTACATCGTAACTTAAAATATATATTTATTCATTAAAAAATTTAATATTATTTGATTTTATTTTAATTTAATTTTTTTCAATCAACCATCTTCCTTCGTACTAATAATTTTATAAATTTCAAAAGAAAATTATCAGAAAAACCAACTGATATTTAAATTCATTGGGATAATTCATTTAATTCTTCTCACATATTCAAATCCTATTTAACTTTTAAATTTTAAAATCACTATTTTAGGGTGCTAGAGGGGTAAAGTTAAATTGATAAACAATGGAAACAACTAATTAACAACTATGGTTACCTAGATAAGGAATTATTTCCCCTGATTGAGTGTCTAGTCTACTCCAAAGAGCTTCAATTTGGCTACATTACGCAACTCTTATGGAATTGAGTAAAATATTTTCTGTGAACATCTAAAAATAATAAAATAATCTGTAAATAAAACATAATGGTTTGAATAATTACTTTCAATTACTAAAACATACTCAAATCTTGAATATTCAGCTTCCGAAAATCAGCAATTGTGGACCATGCATCTTGGACACACTTAAATCGTTTAAAAAATAATTAAATTAGTCATTAAAAATTATTAACATAAGGAAAAGCTTGCCTAGTATCAAATTTGTTTTTACCTAACTTTCATGTCTACAAGGGACATTTTATTCAATGAAAAAAAAGGTAAAATTTTGGATGAGTGTAGCAAAATCTGTGATTTAATAATTGCATGCTAAAAAAGTTAATGTAGAATAAAGACAAAATAAATAAAAAAAGTAAAAAAGAAAATAATAAAACTAAACCAACCAAATATCCTTAAAATCGATGATTTTTCGATCAAACATCGGTTCAAAAACATCATTATTTTTAAATAATTAAATTTTAATTAGGTTAATCTAAAATTGGAAAAATAAATTAATTTTTTATGTCACGATTTTGATAAAAAATAAAAATAATAATTTTTTTTATTTTTAAATTTTTTTTATAAAGAATATAATATTTTTTATTTTCATCTGACATTACTATATTAACTTTAGATAATAATTTTTTATTATATTTTTATATTATTATCAATTATTTATTTTTTATTGTACGTTATATTTTTAATTTCATTGTAATTTATAAGTCAAAGCGTAATAACAATGTTTATTATTATTCATAAATTTATAATATTATTATATTATACAAATATTATTTTATTAAATATGATCCGAGATGACCGGTCAGAAGATACGTCTGAAAACAACGAAATAAATCCCACCCAATCCAATTCCTCCCGTTACAACACCACCCGGGTACAACACTACGCCCAGGTCGGTGAGACGACAAATCGCTAACGAAAACGCTCTCTACTCTGTCTCTTTCTCGAGAAATTTCATCAGTTTAACAAATTCTTCATTGCTAGCAAAATGGGTTGTTTCGTGAGCAAAAACGCTGACACCAAAGCAAATAGGATCGCACGTTGGCAATCCACCGGGATTGTTGCTATGCGCGATTCCAAATTGAAGGCAATCCTTTCTCTCTTTTCTCATGTCTTATTCAATTTTACTCAATTGTAGTTTGTTCTTTTTTATCTCTATGTTGGTCGAGATGAGATGATTGATGCATGTGGGATATTAATCGTGTCTCGTTTTAAACCTTGAAATCGTGTTAATGCTATGCTGTTAACATAAAACAAAAAGCCTCTACTGTTGTCGTCTACAGTTAATGACACTCAAGTCACTGCTTATAATATTTTCTTCCTTTTATTGTGTTGTTTAAGCTTGGTCTATATGTTTATAATATTGGAATTGAAACGTTAATGGATATTTAATATTTATGTGCTTTTATGTGTACTAGTTTGGTAGTGTTAATTGGGAAACTTTAATTAGAGCATCTTTTTTTTGTTTAAATTATATTACTTACAAATTGAAACTATTTGAGGTGATTTTTTGTCTGATTTGATTTTTGGAAAATGTTATACTGTATGTGATACTGGCTAGACTCATGTCAAAACATTTGATGTGGTCTGTGGCATTTATTGAACATTTTACTTTATTTCTTTTTGTGTATTTGTTTTTGAGTGATTGCCCGTGTATTTTTTTTTTTTTTAAAACACACTTACTTACCATGGAGCCTTTGCTAACAGACATTTCCAGATGAAATTATTGAGTTAGACAGATCTGTTCGCACTCTTGACTTGACGCACAATCGAATAGATAAGTGGTTTTTCATTCTTCTATTATATTTAGCTCACATTTGGTTAAGATGCCATTGATTTAAAGAGGATATAGTAATTATGACATGCAACAAAAGTGTGCTTCCTCTCGAAAAGGATTATTACTTCGTTGTTAACAATTCATTTTCTCAACTGCAGTTGACATTCCTATGGAAATCAACAAATTAATTAACTTACAACGCTTGGTAAGGGCCAACTTTTACTTTATGCAGCTATGCCTATGAGATGGTAGCTTCTATTGAGCATTTACTATGAACCTTTTTGGACTAAAATATTGTTTATGGATTTTATCCTATGTTTTTGAACTATAGGGGTCAGTAAATAATAGGTTGTAAGAGAATCTGACATGAAATTGTGTGGCCCTCTTTTTTCAATGATATTACCAATTATTGTTACTTGAGTATGTTCCCTTACAATTTTATAATATAACTATTATAGGTTAGTTTCTTTCTCAGGCTTTAGTGATGTACCAGGAAATGATGTGTTAAAAAATAAAGGATGGTTACACACTATGATTGATTCTAAGATATATATATATATATACTATTTCTTGTCATTTCTTGATTGAAAAAACCTTCAAGAAACTAAAGGTTATAATGTCTCCTGACCTTGTAATTGTTACAACCTTATCCAAGTTATCATATCTGCTTCTTTTACACCACTTATTGGACTTATAAACTATAGGGACGTATGAAAATTATTAAGCCCAAGCCAGACTGAAGTTTGGCTTCATTTCGACAAACCCTACATCAAGCCCTGTCATTCATCGTAATTTCCCTTTACAAGTTTGGTTACTTGTTCATTGTTAGATTTTGATTTTATTCCTTCCCTTTGAAACTCATGCTCTTTTGAACACGTGTTAAGACTCTGCTGTCTTTCATTTACTTTTACCATGGTAGTGTTGGGTAGTAGCTTCTTTGATATTTTAAAAATAGCTAGATTTATATAACATTGAAGATTAATTATAAACACTACTTTAAATTGAAATTGCACTTACATAACAGGTACTAGCGGAGAACATCATTGAGAGACTGCCAGTGAATTTAGGCAAACTTCAGTCTTTGAAAATGATGAACCTGGACGGAAATCGAATTACTTCCTTACCTGATGAATGTAATCTATAAGTACTATTTAAAAGAGACATTATTATCTTATTTTCTTACTTGACATGTATCTAGTGAAACTTTTCTTTTTTTCTTTGTATTAACTGAATGTATTGTTTCTCTAGTGGACCAGTTGGTAAGGCTTGAACGCCTATCTGTCTCGAGGAATTTACTAGAATCCTTGCCACTAACAATTGGAAGTTTGAGAAATGTGAGTAATTAAACATCGTGTAATCTAACATCATTCAACTTTTATATTACTGTCTTATCCATATGATTTATGCATTTGTATCTAGATATGATTGTTTATCATTGCTTCATGATCATGGAATTTTGAAAATTTTGCAATTATCCTTTTAAGTGTAGACATTTCAGAAAGTTAGTTATCTCCATGTCATATATGTGTAAGTGTAAGAAATGATGTTACTCGTAATGAAAAACACTTTATATTTTATTATACATCTGTAGTAGCCCGTTCTTGTCTAATTGTTAATGCTTCAAGAGAATATCAATTTTTCTCTCGAAATTGGCTTAACTTCTAAACTTTAAATAATCTTTAATGAGGACTTCTAGAATTCAAAGAACTCTTTGGTTAAGAGACACATCTTATAGTCTTCTTTGATGTAGAATTTATGCTAGATAGACTTGGGATTTTGATTTGCAGAGTTTGGTATTACCACACACTCATAATAAATGAACCGAAAGTATTGTTTGGCAAACTTTAATATGAAATGCTTACCTTTTTTATAAACTTAGACTAATACATTGTTTGGTAATGCAGTTGGTGCTTTTAAACGTGTCAAATAACAAGTTACAGTCTCTTCCAGAATCTGTTGGCAGTTGCTTCTCTTTGGAAGAGTTACAAGCTAATGGTATGTTTTATGTAGAGACGGATTGTTGTTGTATGCACTTAATGAGCACGATAATGCATATGTTTGCATATTTGGATGTGTCTGGGTTTTCCTTGCTTCATAATTCATATTCGTGTGTTTTGTGTGTTTACTCTGCTAGATTTTTTGTTGTTGTTAGCCTGAAGAGGAGGATCTGCCTTCATCTGATCTTTATTTCTCTTCTATGGAAGTTGTCGCTGCCGTCTGTTCCGACGTCTCGGAACATCTCGAACGTTTATGTGAGCGGTTGTGATATGATGGATTAGACTCACTTTTTTGTAAAAATATGATCATTGCTTCCGAGGTGCTCAACAACTGAACTAACCTCTAATAAAAACAAGGTTTTCGTAAAAAGGGTTCTATGGAGTCGTTACCAATGTTTTTACCATAAACATTGGAAAAGGATAAAAAAAAGACATTGATTTTAAGAAAAACCAAACTTGGCCATTATAACCAGAGTTAGTTATGTGTGGGGAAGGTATTAACACCTCACAACGCCCCTTTCGGGTTCCCTATGACAGATTAATTCATAAAATAAAGATTAAGAGAAATTACGCTATTACCTTATTTTATTACACAATATTAAAAATGACTATCTACATGATCCTATTTTCTATTGCACATAGGAAATCAATAAATAAAACAATAAAGAGAAGAGTAATGAAAAGAACCTCTGAAGCAAGCTTTTATTACAAATCTTCAACTCTGAGGATGCTTTTTGGCTATCCTCCCGCACTACAAGGACTCTCCTCTCCGGAATATAATAAAATAATTTTAGACTATCGAATGTCGGATACCTCAAAAGAGATTTCCTTAACTGATTGTTACCTTATAGGTAATCGGAAAGATCATTCGAGAACTAGAAGTATATGAGAGTAGAGAGAGGTGAAATTGTTGTGAAAAAGCTGCAAATGGGCCCCCTATTTATAGTTTTTCGCTGCCAGGACTCCAGGACGACCGTCTCAGCCTCAAAAAGGTGGGACGGCCATCTCAGCTGCTTGGGACGACTGTTTGGCCCTTGGGACAGCCTTCTCAGGTGAGAAAATCAACAGGGACGCGCGTCTGGCCCTTGGGACGCACGTCTCAGCCACTTGGGACGGCTGCCTCAACTTTGGGACGACTGTCTCGAGTGTTTTCTTCAAATTTTGCATTTTATTGCTTCAGAAAAGCTCTCCTTTCTTCATACGGAAGCCGGTTGATGTTGTTAGATGCCCACCGAAGCTTTACTCATCTTCAGAGCAGAAGTCTTCTGATCTTTATTGAGAGGCCGAACAAGATTTGGGGTCTACAGAAGTTTTTGTTTTTGAGTTTGTCAAACTAGATTGCTCTGCATGTTTTCTTGATAAATGATTATTCTTATTTTACATCTTATCTTGAAGTTGAAGCTTAATTGTTTTTATTTATTTATTTGTTATTATTATTTTAATAAAAATGAGAGTGCTAAAGCATCACTGTTAGGATCGAGCGCTTACTACTAGGCCAAAAGCTATAGTCATTAGTCAGAGTGCAACTCTTTTTTACTTTAATAGCCTAAGCGCCACAATTCGATTGTGACTCGGCCCACCTGGCCTTCGCCACGGGACAATTGATGCTACCTACAACAATCTCCCCCTCAGCAATTGTCTTACAAGGTATCCTACTCTTGGATTGTGACTCGGTCCACTCGGCCTCCGCCACGAGACAATTGTGCAACCCGCAACAATCTCCCCCTCAACAATTGCCCACCAGGAATCGAACTCGTGACCTTAGCTCTGATACCAATTGTTAGGATCGAGTGCTTACCACTAGGCCAAAAACTATTGCCATTAGTCAGAGCACAACTCTTTTATACTTTAATAGCCCAAGTGCCACGATTTGACACGGGACAATTGATGCTAACTACAACAATCACTATGTTGTTGGTCATCCCAACTAAATTGGTACCACAAACAACACTGATCATATGGCAGCACCTCAAACTATCATATAAAAAAGAGAAAATATAAAATAAAGTGGGGCGACCTCACCAAACCCACAATTAATGCCTAATCCTATAGAAAGGTAAATTAAATCTATCCCTGAAAAACTCAGTGCAAATAAAACTAGGAACATTATCCCACAATGTATAACCCTGAGACCAAGTGCCAAAGTCATTATGTGTTTGGAGAGTACCTTGTTCTTTGTAGTTTGTGCATGTTTCTTTTAGATGTTTTTCAAGAATTATTACTTTTTTAAAAATCTCTCTTATGAATGTGTCAACCCCCAGCCCACGACTCCAAAATAAGTTAATACAAACATGTGTAGTTTAGTTTAATCAAAAGTAATTATAGGGGTATACATATCAAACAATTTTCTTGTAATTGACCGTTTCTATCTTAATATAATTTCAATCTTTAGAACAATTTATGTCTTCTTCCTTTATATTTGACTTTATGTTGTGTTTGAGTGAGGCTAATTCCAAACTTTTTGTTAACATTTCAGATAATCTTATTGAAGAACTTCCATCTTCAGTGTGCAATCTCTCTCAGTTGAAATCACTTTGCTTGGATAACAATAAAATGAAGCAGGTGGTATTTTTGTGATTTTGAATTCTAGGTTAAGAAGTTCTGGCTTGATGAAATGCACTATATTGTTACCTGTTTCTTATAATATTTATTGATTTTGTGAGTGGGAATTGAATTTTTCTGTCATTCTAAAATTGTATGGACATCTTCTAAGGACTATCCATCTATATTGTCAAAGCACAATTGGTTGAGTTTTGATTTCTTCTTTGTCCCTTCACTAGAATTTTGTTCCTATTCATTATAATTCTCTATGAATCAGGACGCAAGCACTTTAGTCCTTAAATTTTATTTTAAGCGTTAACAAAACAATGAGGAAGATTTAGCCCGATTGTATTAGTTACTGAGTTCAACTACCTGAAATCATTTGATGAAACTTGTAACATATCTATCTTTAAAATTATTTTAACACAAACATATCCAGAGAGATTAATTGAAAAACCGATGAGGTAATATAAAATTTATGGGCACATATCGATTAGGCTTCATATCCATGAATTAAAATAATTAGGATTAAGATATGCATAAGCTTTTTTGACAGAAAAATATAGAAAGAATGCTTATCTAGGCCAGCGCTTTTAGTTCTCAACTACAGAAATAAACAATCATCATTTGTCATGGGATAGGATTTGAGTTTCCAAAACTCGACTGTTACATGGTATGCAGTGTTTTCAGAACCATATCTGTCATTGACCTTGTCATACTAGGTTTGTAGGTCATATGTGATCCAGTGGGTCACTAGTTAAACCACGTTACCCGATATATCACTAAATATATAATTATATCTTGCAAATATAGTATAAAATAATTTTTGTTTTTTTATTAAAGAGGTAATTTTGTGTGGTGGTTATATTGCCCTTAAACTGCCCTTGAGACTTGGGTTCTATCCTCTCTCAAAACATTTTATCTTGTTTTAGATTTGTGAGGCACACCCATTGAGCTGCAGTACACAGGTGCAAGAGTGCAGTAACAAGTGTAGACAGAGCAACAAACTAATCATGTGCACAGCATTGACAAGATGCACAGAAAGACCAGAAAGCCCATGGCTGGGTGAAACCACTCGAGTCACCGGTTGAATCTTGGTGGATAAAACCAATCAAGTCACCAATTCAATCTCGATTATGAGCTGGGTTGATGATATCATCCTAAGTCAACCATATCTCTAATCTAGCTGATTGATCAACTATGGGTATATTTTGGTTCTAGTGGCTAGACTGGCCGGTCTTGTCCATGTTTAATAATATTGACAGTATGCATCAAATACAAATGATTGAGTTAGTGAAACTTTGGTCAAGATGTATGATTAGACTTCTAACTTCCCTAGACATAGTTGTATAATTGAATAGTTTAGGATCTTCATCTTTCTTTAGCAGTTGTAAGACGACTCAGATTGCGAACTCTCTGGTGAGTTCAAATGATGAACATAATCATTTGATGTCATAAATCTCCCTCAATTATTCATGAGTTTCTACTTGGTATCATGAGATTGCAATTTGAGCAATGGCTTTGCATGCAAATTCGTACTTGTCCAATCCTTTCCCATCTATATCTTGGGTGAGCACTTCAATAAACTTCTCACATTACGATTCTGTAAAATTGGATGAGAAAAACTTCATGTTATGGAAACAAGTGCAACAGGTCAATGTAGTGATTTAAGAACAGAATCCGTTGCTATGTTTTTAATATATATATATATATATATATATATATATATATATATATATATATATATATATATATATATATATATTTCAAATTGATATCACTACTGAGAAGACCATAATTGAAGTATTGTTAATGAAGATTATATACGCTAGCAGCAGTAGGATCATTTGATGTTTACAAGGTTCCTTTCGTTGCTTTTTGAAGCTCTTCTTTCTTGTGTAGCTGGTTGCATTCATTCTTGACAGTTATGGGATGAAATTCATAATTTCTTCCACTCTCGTATGAGTTAAAATGTCAGTTTAAATCTGAGCTGAGGAACACTAAAAGAAAATTGGCATATTAAAGCCATAATTGATTCCTTGCTTTCTATTGGTATTGGACGTCTGGTGGTGAAACAAGAACACCATGATGTTATTGCCAATGGTCTAAGCAAGGATTATGATGCCCATGGTGAAACAAGAATACCATTCAAGTAGACCAGACCCTAACTCCATTGTTGATATTATTGAGTCATTCAGATATACTAGCCTAATTTTTTGTGTTTGTGTTCATATATACTAGCAAATTGATCTTTCATTGGAAGGATAAAACAATGTATTGGTTTACTAAGGGAATCTAGAAGTATTATGTGTGTGAATTTAACACAGCGGATGTATAGGAACTACTTGTGTTTGACTCAAGAAATAAACACAATGAGTTCTGAATAAATAATACAATATGTAGTGTTTAGGCTAAATTTAAGTGCAATCATTAACAAACACTGGGTTACCCCCAAACAAACATAAGATTTCTCCGTACCATGGAGTTTCCTCCTTCAAAACACCAGAAATAACAAATTAACATATCAATTTCCTTTTACTAGTGTCATGCAATATATTTATAATTATAATTATGTAATCCAAAATTAGTAGGAAACAGCTACCTAATAAGAATTATACTTACCAGATATAGAACTTGGCTTTTCAAAATACATGAAATTTGAACCTCTTAATCTTAATTGCTTCTAGTTCGTGATACATAGTACTTTTGACATGATTTGAGAGGATTCCCTAGACTTTAGATCTCATGATAATGTAATATTTAAAACTTACTTGATACGTCTTAATTTTTTATATACAACATCAAGTGATTGGTCAATGCTGTCTCCTATTGAGAGGGGATTTGTTCAGTAGTTGAGTATTTTTTATAGGAGCATTACAACGCTGATCAATAACATTTGAGTGACATATTAGTGTTTCTTTCATCCGTTGAAGATGATTGGTACTATTATGTGGGAGGTTGTCTTGTCAAGTGTTTAGCATTTTATAAATTTTACAGACTTGAATGATTATTTACGAATTGTTTGATCATTATTTTTGCTTCTGAAGTATCTCAGTCCAAAATTTCTTATTGAAAGCATAAACTTAAAAGTTACTCGAATGAGTGGTTTACCTTTTTCATGAAGTTATTTTATTTCACAAGGTTAACTTTTGTCACTAAGATATAGATGTTGTACAATAATATTTTGACGTAGTTTTAGGTATGTGTAAAATCAGTAAGAGGTATTCTTTTGACCATTATAAGTTGTTCCTGTTTCATTTGTTGCATTGGTTTACTTTAAGGGGGAAAACTTTTTAGTTGCTTGAATATTAGGAATATCCAGTTTCATTCTCATGCATATGCATGAGAAGTTATTCATTATGAGCACTTTGTAAGATGGCTAAGCTGATATTTGGAATTGTGGCATTTTTTAACCTTACATGTTGAATAGTAATATTTTTTATCGCCTTTTAGAAATTCCAACCCTAACAATTTATATTCTAGCTAATTTCCTCAGATTTCAAATGTATTGATGTCACTTTGGTTTCATTTCGGACAGATACCTTTGAATTTATTGAAAGACTGCAAAGCTCTTCAGAACATATCACTGCACGGTAATCCTATATCAATGAATCAATTGCAACAGGTATGATATTGTTTAGTATATTTTTCCTTTTTCCTAAATGATTGATATATATGTTCAACTTTCAATACAATTGATTGATTGATGATGGATCTAGATGGAGGGGTTTCAAGACTTTGAAGCAAGGAGGAAAAAGAAGTTTGACAAACAAATTGATTCAAATGTGATGATCGGTTCCAAAGGTCTTGATGAGGGTGTTGATTTATGAAGTGGTCAGGCTTGTTGAGACCATATGCAATGGGGAGCTTTTGGATGTGGTGTATAATACATAGCGTTTTATTCATGCCTTTTCTTTCACATATGAAATAAGTGTGGAGATCCTGTCATATTGTATATGATTCTTGTATTTTCCCCATCCAAATTTGCCTACAAATGTGTTGGCTTATAGATGCAGGCCATATCCAACACTCAATTGAAAGTTTCCATATAAGGGATTTGATGTCATTTTGTTGATAATAAAAGTATGTCTCTCTGCTGCTATAAGTTCAGACCAAGGCATTGCATTTTGGCCCCTAATTGTGTGAAGTCTGGTTCCTTGTTTGCCTGCAAACACGATGGCTTCAACAAAAAAATTAATGTCATTACTTTTTGTCAAGAATAAAAATTGTTTGAAGATGCTGACTACACCATTAAGCTCAGATGGTGTTTGTTTGTCACGAATAAAAATTGTCAATTATGATAATGCCTCGGCATGACTAAGCATACTGTTGATGATCTATCAAAAATAATTGCAAGTGAGCCATTGGAAAATATTTGTTACTTCTCCATGTTTGCTTCGATGCTTGGTGACTGGGTATGAAATCATGGATTCTTCCTACTTAGGCATAGTACACGTTTTGTAGGGGAAAATGTACTCTTGCATTAGGTGAAGACTTGTTGTAGTGAATGCAGCATGCTTAATAAATATGTTTTGATTGTGGAAAGAAAGTAATGAAATGAAATGCAATGGAATGGAACAAAGGATTTTAGTTTTCTTGTTTGGTTGCATAAAAATGAAATGGAACAAAAAAATTACATGCACTCAAAATGACAGTATTTCTAAAAAATGGAATTATACTAGCTTTCCTACCAAAATTGCTTCCCTTCATTTTATATATATTTTTTAAGCGAAACACTATATAGAGAAAAAGATATTTTTTTTCCTACACCTTCCTAATTAAATTAAGTTTATGTTTTACCCTTACGTCACCTGCGAAGGACGAGACGGCGGTCTCGTTTGGCGAGACGGCTGTCTCGTTTGGCGAGACACCTATCTTTATATTTGTAAGTACTTATTTATGATTTTTAAACTTTTGAATGTCTAATTTTTAAATCCTACTAAAATATTTTCATTCTTTCTTCTCTTTCAAAGAATTACAAGAAACTGTTAGGAATCTTCAATTATTTTTAATTTGTATCAATATTAATATTTTTTACCACGTATAGTATTTGTGCAACAAGATTTTAGCAAGAAACACGTTTAGGTATTGGGAATACAATTCTAGGAAATATATTATGGAAAAAATGTTCGGAAACATGTTCCAGAAAATCAATTCCAAAATCCACTTTGAAATGTTTTTGGAAAAAATTTTCTACAATGTATTTTTGGATTGGTTTTTTCAAAAACACATTCCAGAACACCCAACCTAAAATGTATTTTATGATTGATTTTTCTGAAAATGCATTTCGGAATGAGTGTTTTGGAATATGTTTCTGAAAAAGCTAATATGAAAATACATTCTGAATTTAGGCATGGCAACAGGGCAGGGTGGAGGTAGGTTTTGCCTCCCCAATCCCTGTCCCCAACTTTTTAACCGTCCTTGTCCCGCCCTCGATTCCGCCAGGGTTAAAAATTAAGTTTTAATCCTCGTCCCTGTTGGATTTCGAATTTCCTCAGTCCTGTCTACACTATTTTTAAAAAATAATTATATTTATAATAAATTAATTTTACTATTTTTATGTATTTTTTTTACATAAATAAATATTTATAATTTTATAATTTATAATTATTATTAATTAAATATATTTTTTAATTTATTATATTTATATTAAAATATATATGTAAAAGAAACATTTAATTATTTTATCTTTATACAAATGTAAAATACTTATAACATTATTATTATTATTATTATTATTATTATTATAATAATGTATTTAAACATTTGATTATATATATATATATATATATATATATATAAGTTAATTCTTTTTTTAAGTTGTTATTTAAAAATATTAAATATATAATTTATAAGAAAATATTTAATAAGTTAGTTCTTATTTAATTTGTTCAAAGTAATAAAAATTTAAATTATCAAATTTTTAATCATTTAAAATACAATTATTTTTTAAGATAAAATTTGATATATGACAAATAAGAATAATAAGATCTAAAAAATATGACATAATAAAACCTAATAAAGTACTAATATTTATGTAAAATATTTAGTAAAAAGATAAAAAATAAGAAAAATTAACTTTGTGTTCATCAAATTGGTTGAAAAGATTGAAAAAAAATAATTAATTGGAGAGATTAAGGAAATGTAAACAAAGTGAAAGGTAAAAAAAAGATAATAATGTAATGAACTAATTGATATAAAAGATTAAAAAAGATAAAAGAATTAAAAAATGGATAGAAGAAAAATAATAATGGTAAAATATAAAAAATTTATCTTATATGTAATGAAAAAAGAAAACGAAATATTTTTAAAATATTAATATTTTAAAATTTAAATTTAAATATAAAGTCGAGGCGGGGACAAGAAAGAGGTCGTGATGGGGATTACATTACTCATTCTTGCCCCGCTCCCGACTTTTAAAGCGAGAAAAACCTGAACCCGTTCTTGCCCCCGATCAACTCAATTGTTTCTCGTCAAACTCGAGGTGGGGACGAATCGGTCCTCGTGGATACGAGTTTAATTGTCATCCTCATCTTAATTAGATGTTTTGAAATTCAATGTTTCAGATCAAGTAATATGTATCTTAATGTACAATTTTAGTGTAAGAACATATAATAAATACATAATATTAAGGATTACTCACATTTAAATGTTGAAAAAGATCTTGAATAAAGGTGATAATATAAGAAATAAAATTTGTAGATTTATAGAGATGCACCACTTTGACAGGAAAACAAAATAAGGAGTTAGAATTTAAAATAAAAATTATTGAAAGGATAAAAATTTGTAGATTATTAAAAGAAATTATCCAGCTGCAGAACCTTAAACTTGTCTTTTTCATATTTGTCAAATCTTCTATCTCAATAAACATACACATACTAACATGCTCATGCTTCATCAATAAGCTTGGTCTACCCAAGCTAACTTCAAATTTTGCTTCACTCTTACCTTGATTCTTGAATAACAAACATGAAATTTCTTACCAATTTAGCGTATATTTAGTTTTACAAATGTAAACCCTAAATTTCAAGCAATACATAATTTTATCTGAACTATTAATTGAACTTTTGGAAAAATCAAATTTAAAGTTAACTTAATATCATTAAATATCAATTAAACCAATGAGTTAATTATATAGGTAACAAGAGAGGAAAAGACATGCTTAATATTTAATCTAATAGTATATGTGCGAGACAAACTTTCAATGAAAAAAATGACTTATTGAAGAAGGAAAAAAAAAATGGTTTCAGCCTTTGAAAACGTTGTATTGGCTTAAAAAGGCAAAAAAGTGTAGCATATTTGTTATAAAATATTTGGGCAATGTGCACAATTAATTTTCATGATTTGTTACCATGATTTGTTTTAAAAGATTAACACTCATTTCTCGCTAATCATTTAACTTGTTGCATGTTTTCTGGTAATCTTTTTTTTTGTTATTGAGTTATACCAAAAAATAACACTTTGGCTCAATTGCATTAGATATAACAATGTTATCAGTTTCATCCTATATTTTTAAATATGATCGAGTCCAAGAACAAGTTTCAATCCTTTACTATTGTATTCATTTGGAATTATATTATTTAAAGTGTTATTTTGTATATTTATTTTTTGTTTATATTCCTATATCAAATACATTACATTTTTTTAGTGTTTTATATGTATACAAAAACATTTTCAATTTTATTTTAGTGTGGGTCTAATGTTGTTAAGGCCATAAGCTTTAAATATATTCTTTTTTATACTAGATTAGTCATTTTGAACATAAGATGATTGATAATTAGGCAAAAGTGAAAAACTTCCTTAACTTATTTTCTATTTTGTACTTCTAATTTCTCTTTTATGTTTTCATTGCATTGTTTAATGCTATGTGTGAATAGTTTCATTTATTCTACCATTGGGACTTAGTACTTGATAAATCATCGATTTTAATTATTTATTTGTAATTCTCTTCTATTAATTTTATTAACGTAAAAATTTTAATAATTCATTTACATTTAGGGAAGGGTTTAGAGGTGAAGGTGATTATTGAAACAATATGAGAGAAACCTAGGGTTTAAATATTATACTAAATTCAATCATTTAAGAAATCAATGAATTCAATTAGATACAAAACATTCCTTTATTTCAATTATTCTAGATTAATTTAACTTTAAATATAATTTAAAATGTTTAGAGATAAAAAGAGTAAGAGAATAGAAAATTTTGGTGCGAAATTAAATGAGGTGAGTTTTCTAATACCAATGTTATTTCAAATATGTTGTATCCTTATCCTTAGATTCAATTTTTTTTTTATTAATTCTTATTTCACAAACAATACTCAATTTCCATTCATTTGTCTTTATTTTATTTCTTATAAATAGTTATAAAGCCAATGTGGATTTAATATTATTACTTAATGACAATCATATACATGCGATTATCATGCATAAAGTTTTTGACGATATTTTCCGTTTTCATGATTCTTTAGTTTGATAATTATTTTACAATTGAAAATTGAATATATTATAATTCATTAATATTTATTAATGATATTATCTAGATTTTTCCTTTCTTAATGTATGTTTTCTATGTTTAAACAACACATATGCTATAATTAAAATAACATCATTATCGAAAACAATTATTGTTATTAAAGATTTTAAATTCAACTATTCTACATAATTTTTTTTTGTTTCTTGTTGTTTAAATTTGTTTTGTATTTTAAAAGTGATAAATGGTAAAAATTTTCGCTATTATCTCTAATTTGCTCAGCATTTTTTACGTGTGTTTAACATATTAGTGTTTTTGTATTGTATTGTTTGTTCTAATGTTGTCCAATTTTCACCTAGTG